ACTGAAAACAATGTAGAGCGGGAAATGTTTTGTTTGTTTTAAACAAAATCTTGCCTCTTTCTCAGCTTTGCTCAATGTTCTTGAAATTCCTTTCTGATTAAGGTCTATATTACACATTTAAAAAAAGCAGTTTTAAATATGATTTCATGTAAAAAACATTGTTTCACAATGAATGTTCACACAGATAAGATACGTTATGTTATGGTATGTTAACAGTAGAGAAGGGCACTCTTCCCACACCCCTACCACGGATTAATTTTGCTTAAATACATTAAACATTTAACCTTCTTGACTCATCATAGCTGATACTCCCCTCGACCTCCTATTAGTGTGATACAATACCACGAATATGTACTTGTAATCTATAATATAATACCATGCATTGGAACAGTGTTTATATGCTTTTTAAAATCTTGATTTACTCACTACATATAGCTATAAAAGCAATAGATGAATGAGCATACAATGAATAAAGATGCCATGGGCATGAATAAAGATGCCAGGGAAAAGGCCTGAAATAGGAAGTGTTGATTCTGCAGTGTGATTTTACTTCTTCAGATAATATCTAGGTACTAGCAAAACTTAGAGACATGACATGAGGGTATCTTTCATGAACAGGGAACCAGAGAGGGGCAGATTCTCATCTTAGTAAGTGGCAATCTATATTCATTCCCCTGGTCTAAATTGTCCCTAAAATTCTCACAGAACCATAGAAAGCACAACAAACGCCACCTCCAGACACATTTTCATTCCTCCTCCCTCTTCTCAATAATTAAAAATAAAACCATATGAAGATACAACAGATGTTAGTACTACACAAGATGTATGCAATACTACCCATTTGATTTTGCGCATAATTGTCTTCTCATAGTAAATAGTTGGATTAGTAGGTTATTAAGAAACATTTCAGAACCACTTTCTCCAAAGCTGTTAGCCAAGCAATAGAGAATTAATTATGCTAAATGTTATGGGTTTTTTATTAGCCTACGATGAAGTTTATCTAGCTTCTGATAAAGGGAAATATCCCTAGGTTGTGGCATCTGTAGCCAACATACAAACTATCAAAATCAGAAAACTTGAAAGAAAAACATATGGGAATTACCTGTGTTGAACACAGATGTAATTGGGTATTTTGAAAAGGGCGGGGGGTGGGAATTTTGCACGTGTTACACACTTCTCACTTTTCAAAGGGAGCAGAGGGAAATCTGCGGCTGAATAGTTGTCTGGTTTCCAAAATCAATATGAACTATCGTATTGCCTCCTTTGGGCTGCGACAGCCCACACTGTCAGACCCTGCACATGCTGAGGGAAAGATATGGGCTCTCTCCACGAGAGGGCAGGTCTTGCCCACACATGATTTCACCCTCCTCATCCTCACCCTGATGCCAGCAGCTTCCTTCTACTGCAACGGATGTGCCTGGAGAAAGTTCTGCTGTGGGACCAGGCACCCAAGGGAAAGACATGTTTCTACCTAGGACCCGCCATATCATTCTTGACAAGCCTTTCTCTTTGTAATACTGCTTTTAAATTATACTGATATATAAACCATGTATTATACTGAATTTATACATATATCCTCCAAAAGACTACATAAATTATTTCTATATTTTCATTAAATAATTTAGATGGAAACAGGGCATTTTTTCATAAGTAACTTCAGAATAACAGACTCTATTACAGTTGCTTCCTCTTTCTAACAACATTATAATTCTGCTGCTTTTATGTTCACAAGCAATGCCAAATACAGCTATTTGCATCTCTCATAGTGTATAACATTTCTGTGGGCATACTCAGAAAGAAACAAACAATACTTCCATTAACAACACCTCTCCAGCTGCTGTGACCTGAGCAGGAAAAAAGCCACATTGGGCACTGCAGTTTCAAAAAGGGTAATTAATATTATTAAACTTCTTTTTTCCAGGTTACTAGAAATTGGATATGCCTACAGCACCTACATGAACACAAGAACTTGCCAATGACGGTCCCATTCTGATGTGCTCTCTTCAGAGGCTGGGGAATGGACAGAGAACCTAAACATAATCCTAAAATAAAGATGTTCCTGCATTACCCCTTCTCCCTCTACATGACTGTCCGTCTGCTACTGGTCATTACAAAGGCAGGAACAGATCTGTTGCCACGCTCTTCTGGATTCCCAAATCTATCTATCTTTTTCTTAAGCAACAGGGAGGCTGCCCTGAAGAGGTCAGGATATTTGCCTGATGCTCTCTGGCATGGTCTTCAGACAGCTACATGCTGAGGTGCGCTCTCTTTGCACCTGGCTATGTTAAAAACTGCAAAGGAACAAAACATGAAAGGGAACACACAATCTGTGTCATGCAGGCTGATGAGGAGAAGCCACTGGTTTTGTCAAAGCCTTCGAGAGCAGCTGACAGAGCAAAAGATACAGCAGTGCTTGTCAACATCTTGAGAATATCTGCACTATCAGGTTAACAAAAGAGAGAGGGAGAGTCTTACTATTCCCTTTATCAATCAATAAAGAACAAGTTGTGAGCTTTTGAGGCTTTCTTAGACACTAGCTCCTTGACAGCGATTCCCTGGGCTTATCCACACTTAACACTTCAGCAAATCAAGGCAGCAGGACAAAAATCCCATCTTTATGGGGAGGCCTAATGGGATACAATGCAAGAGAGCTCTATTTTGCAGGGAATAGCATCAGTTAATATATATGGCCGCTCGCTAACAGTTGCATGTGTTCAGTTAAAGTGTGAGCTTATACAGCAACTAAGTAAAAGAAAGAGAGAAGAGCTGCTCCAGATGGCAGGACGGTAGGAGGGCATGCTTACCACCACAGCCAGATTGCGTGGAGGGTTGTCTTAATGTAGAAGTAGAAACAAGATGAGGAAACAGAGACAATAAAGGGCTCACAGACAGTCTAGAACTGGAATTAAACTAAAGTCACTTCTGCCAGAGCTTGCATTTCCTGCCCCAGTTCCAAAATGTGGGAAGGGAAAAGACAGAGAAAAAAAAATTGCTGCTGCTACAAATGTTGCATTTGCCTCTGCAAAGGCCCTGAGGTAAACCTACTCTGCTATAACCACCTATTAAGCTACACGAGTGAAAAATAAAGTGCAGAGGAAACGTACACCACGGTAC